TTCTTGCCTGAGTCTTTCCATTCTTGTATCTGGAAATTCTAGAGGCACTGTAGGAAAATCTAGTCTCTGCCTGTTAGTGATCCATGTCCCCCTTAACACGTGAAAAAGTATTCAGTGCAACTGGGATCTTCTAGGAACTGAGGTCATCAGAACCTTGTAGGTGAGGAGGAAAATCTACCATGAATGTGTGCCATATTGTGGCCAATACCTGAGAAACCATTCCCCCATGTGGCTATCATTTCCAAATACTGACGGGTCTCAAACTTCCCATTGCTGAGCAATTTAACTGAGAAGCTTGCTGAAGCTTGACTCTAACTCCACCTATATACAGTTAATGTTCTGGACTCCTCCCATTTAAGCTCCAGGCCAGTACACTGTTGCTGTTGGTATTGGATGATCGTCTCATGACTGGACAAGAGCCAGATACTCCTACTTATATTGCTGGACCTCTCTGCTGTATTTGATATTATCAAACATGGAATTCTGTTATCAGTTTTCAGAGTTGTCCAGTGGTTAGCAGAACTGTGCTGATGTGGCTTCATTCATTCCTCTCAGACTTCACCTAGAGAATCATGATGGACACCTTCTCCTCCACCTCCAGAGGTGTTACATGTGGAATCCTACTAGGATAAATTCCCTTCCCCATCTTTCTTGTGTGCATGCGCTCTCTCCCGCTTTCTTTCTCTCTCTCTTTCTCTCTCTGAAGCACCCAAGGCATGTTGAGACAATATGGACTGAAATGCCAGCAATATGCTGATGGCATACAGCTCTGTATCACTTTCATATCAGATGCAGAGAGCATCACCCCGCACCTATCTGATGGCTGATAGCAGCAGGTGGTTGAAGAGAAGCTGGTAGAAGCTGCAGCCCACGGAAGCGTATGCTGAAATAAATTTGTTAGTCTCTAAGGTGCCACAAGTACTCCTGTTCTTTTTGCGGATACAGACTAACACGGCTGCTACTTTGACACCTCAGTTTAAAGAAGTCACCCTGTCTGAACAATGAGGGTGTCTGCCCTCAGATTATCAAGGAAGTCCATAGCCTTGCTTCTGGATAACTTAATCACATAAGTAAAAAATGCCCTTTTTCATGTATGGCTGGAATGAGGACACCACCACCTCCTGTCAGAGCCGAACATAACCTCAGTGATCCACAGATATGTGACCTTGAGAGTTGATTGTTGTAATTCTCTGAATATCAGGGTGTGGCCAAAAACCTGCAAAAAAAGCTACCTTTGGTTCAGAATGTAGTAGCCTGTCTCTGTGTAAAACAAGCTAGCATGAGCACATCACCCCAGTGCTCTATCTTCACCATCTCCCAGTTAAATACTGGGTCGAGTTTAACGTTTCAGTTCTGCTCATCAGAATCCCAGGGTTGTCTCAAGTTACTTGAGGGACCACCTCACTCTGTGGGATCATGACTTCCAATGGCATCCACATTCCCCTGGAAAAATGTAACTGTCCTTGAGAGAGAGTCATGCACAGAAAACAGTGCTTTCTCCATGATTGCCCCATGTAGCTGGAACTAACCCATGGAAGATATCAGGATGACTCTGAATCTCCTCATCTTCAGAACAAAATGTAGAACCTATTTCTTTGACCAGACTTCCCACAATAGCATCATATTTAAAAAACCCAAAGACCCATACATACCAAATAAACTAAAGCCAGTCCTTGAGAGGAAGATGGAGACTGTGGTGGTGGGGATGGGGAAGGGGAAGAGAGAGAGTTTTAATGTATACACTTTATAATTTTTGGAAGATGCTCAAACCCTTGCTCAAGTCATGGGGAGGGGCAAGACAAAAACAATACACATTCACCTTATTTACTTAGTCTTATAAGAGGAACTATATTAAAATTTGATATAAGATCATATATAGAACTATAAGATTTTTGAAATGTATAATCATATATGTCAACCTCAATTAACAGAAACCTCTTAACCTGAATCCCTACATTTTTCTTTGCTTCATTGAAACATGTGACTGCCTTGAATCTGAAATTTTATGTCCTAAAATAATAATTTTTGTAAAAATGATTTAAATTGATTTAATATTCATTCAAATGAACTTTACTCATACTTTAATTGAGTTTTACTGGTACAGTGCTTTGGTTCCTCCTAACCTTGCTGTATGTAACAACTAATTACATAGTTATAAATCCTCTAATTAAATGTTACCTTTTGTTTGTGTGCACTGAACTACAATGTTCGTTTTATTATTGTAGGATTTCTATGGTGCTTATCACCATAGTATCTGAGAATTTCACAGGCATTAATACGTTCATCATAATGTCCCTGTGAGCTAGGTATTATCATTCTCACATTATAGGTGGAGAATTGAGGCACAGAGATTAAGATACTTGCCAAAAGTCATCCAGAAAGTTTGTGGTAGAGTCAGGAACAAAACCCAGATTATGTGAGTCGCAGTGTAGTCCATTAATCATAAAATCAGTATTGGCACAATAGCATATAGAACTTTTTGTCTTTCATGCTTGTATTTGCAGTCCGGTTTCAAGCCAAGGCACTGTACAAAGAAAGTGGTCACAGCTCTGGTAGCTCTCCTACAGTTCATAAACAAGGACCATCCTCCATACTCATCCTGCTGGATGTGTCTGTGGCATTTGTTACCAATACTGACTAAATACTCTTGTTCTATCTCTAATATTCTGTTTATTTTTAAATAGAAGACACTTGGTATTATGGTAATGGTAATGTATCTAGTTAAGCAGATCAGACTAGGGCGGGGTAAAATGTTGAAGCCAAATTGGCAAAGTACCGAGCCAGATTTGCATTGGAATTGACTTGTGTAGGTCCCTATACTTGTGCAAAGGTGCATTTATTTCATTGTGACTCTGCATGGGCTCAGGAGTCTGTGCTAGTGGATTCCATGCAAGTTTGAGTTCTAAAAGAGCTAAATGTACAGAAAGCTTGCCTAAGTGGGTAACTAAGATGGTGTGGAGCATGATAACTGTTTGCCAATATTTGAAGCATGTGATAATCGAGGAGGGTACAAGAGACTGTAACTAGCAGTAATGGAATTAAATGAGAGAAAAATAGGGAAAACTTCTCCCATGTGGAAATACTTGCAGGAGGGAGTTTAGGAAAGGAAATTCAGCGAGGAATTTTGAGTGTCCTCCTAAATGTTGTCTGAGCATGGGGTTAGATGTAGTTACACCCAGTGTGAAATGAGCTGCCGTTCCATCCTCCCAGCTCTTTGTAATTACTTGGATCCTCTAAAGGAAAAGCCCTTGAGTGTTAACTTTGGGTTCCATGGCATGGTAAAAGGTCTGTGTTAAAGGGGATCATGAGACATGCAATCAGGGCTTCCACTTGCTCTAGCTGTCCCCCAAACACCCCTTGGCCATGGGAGAAGGCCCAATGCTATGATACCTTGTTTTCTGGGTAATCTTCCTGGTGGTAGTGTGGGGGCAATGTAGTCCCTTCTTGGCCTTCCCCTTCCCCTTGGGATACCAATCTAATAGAGAGAGTACTCCATGGGCTCCCACAAAAGAGGGAAGGAGTAATAGAGGAATCTGATCCTGACCGCTATTTTGCACAGACAGTGGGAGATCCACATACAAATCTCTCTGAGATGTTCTGGACTAGTGAGATATATAAGGCTGTGAAACAATATCCCAAGGGATGCCTCAACACTTCAGATATTTAAAATAAACTAGACAGATGTTATAGAGAGCATTCCTACATTGGCACAGAATGGGCTAGATGTCCTAATGATTCCCCACCTTCTCTAATTTCTAATCCCCAAAATATTTTATGTTTTAGTTCAATTTTTTAAAAGACTGAGTAATAGAGATGTAAAGTAGTAATCTTTTATATGAAAACAAAGCCGACCACCAAATAGATTTTGACAAATAAGACTAGAATGCACACAGAAATGCAGAGCTCATTCTGAGCAATCCTACCCTAGAGAAGCTGCACTAAGAGTTTGAGCTGAGATTTTCAATTTCTTGTCTCTAAGGTTTATTACTATATATTCAATAAATGAACAGAAATAGAACATGCTAGAAAATATTCAGTTATAACAAAGAAAACATCAGTGAGCTAAATGATTTTGTACAATTTGAATGTCTCAATCACTATATTGTAAAAACAAAGTATGTATTGGTTCAAAACTTTCATGAAGAACTTCTGTCTTTTATTGCTACAGATGTTGATGCATTTTATGTTTTTCTTCCTTGTATTGGTATTTGCATATTTTCCAGTGAGAAGACCTTTTGTTTGCCATAAGAAGGCTATTATCCAGAATGTTAATGGATTTCCAGCTATTAAGATGTAATGATATACCTTGAGTATCTAACTATACATTTGAAAAATCTCCATCAGCAATCTCAAAGGAATACTTAGAATGCACTCCTGGTAAATTGGCTCATTTTCTTGTAATTTACTAGAAGTGCTGATATGAAAGCAGTTGTAATATAAAAAGTACATTAATCCCCGGAGTTACATTGTATATATTAAATTATTACTCTGAAAGTATAAAACATACGAGGCCATTTAGCCTTCTTTCATACTTGTTACTTAGAATCACAGTAGAAAAATAATCGCTGTAATTTGAGGCAAGAAATTAGAAATGATATGTTTAGCATCTTTAAAAACAAGATATGCTGTAATAAAGTAAGTTTGATCTTGCATAAAAACTTATATTTTTCAAAGGGTTGCCAGTGAAAAGAAAGTGACATTAAGGAAGCTGTATCATTAAAGCTCATTTCCTTTAGTTAACAAACTAATATTTTGAGAAATCTGTTCACTTGGACATCTTCTATGATTGTCATATAGATTAGACTGCCTGCTGTTCTAGCTGCCAGATCTTGAAATCTTTTCTTGAGCAATATGCTCACTACCTTAGTATAAACAAAGGAATTCAATATTTGACCATAGAAATTCTAATAATTACAGCACAGTTATTTTTATTAACATCTAGATACATCCATTTCAGAACACTTGTTTAAAATGTTCTTTGATTGTTTTCCCTTCTACAGAGTAAGAGAGAAGTGGTGGAACTGCAACTCACTACACTAACTTATATGAACCAACCGTTATTTATGCCACTGGGAGGCTGAAAGTCCTGGAAACATGTTGTGTAAGAAATGACAGAGAATTTGCAAAGCTGTTGCCTAGCAAATTGGAACATGGAGATGAAGCTAGATCCCGCTAAGGATGACCTACCCCTAATGGCCAACACATGCCACATGCTCGTAAAGCATTATGTATTGGACTTAGATGTGGATTTTAAAAGCCAAGTTATTGAAGGCACCATAGTTCTCTTTTTTGAGCCTGGGAGCAGATGCAAAAAAGGAGGCAGTGCTGGGGAAGGAGCCTGCCTTTCACAGTCAGATGAAACATGCAAAATTAGGGCATCTGAACCTTGTCACAGTCCTGTGACAAATGTAAGTGCCCGCTCATCTAAAACAGGATATAATGATTTTGCAGTCTGTGCTAAAGGTGAAAAAGATACTTCTGATAAAAATGGTAACCATAGCAACGGGGAACAGGCTTCTGGGATTTCTAGTTCAAAGAACTGCTGTGACATAGAGAATCATGGGAGTGAAGATTTTTTGCTGGTATTGGACTGCTGTGATTTATCTGTGTTAAAGGTCGAGGAGGTAGATGTTGCTGCTGTGCCAGGTATTGAAAAATTTACAAGGTCTGCCAAGCTAACTGATGCTGAAGAGCTGAGAAATCTTAGGAATCAGATTGTACATGAACTTGTGACTTTACCTGCGGATCGTTGGAGGGAACAGCTATACTATTACACCCGCTGCAGCCAGGCGCCTGGTTGTGGAGAGCTTCTGTTTTCCACTGACATTTGGAGCTTGATGATAAGGAAAGCAGAGGTTCAAGCACCAAGAGACTTTCCTCGTGCAATAAGGATATGGTACAAAACAAAGCCAGAGGGAAGATCAGTTACATGGACCACAGACCAGAGTAGCAGGTATGTAACTATTGGCTCTACAGCTGTACACATGTTCATTTTATATGCAGGGAGAGAAGAATTCAGAGTGATGCATTAAATTGGAGTAACTATGCAAAGAAGATAAACATTCATTTTCACTGCTTTCTTTTCATCCTTAGTCTGAATTCTACTGGATTACAGTAAAGCAGGTAAACTGAAGGGCAGACAAAACCCTAACAAGATTACATTCCTTAATCCTATATCAAATGATTGCCTTTATTTAGTTTGCATATTCAGGACTGGAAGTAATGGATTGTGTTGCATGTCGGGTAAGGTGTATGTGTCGGGAGGGGAGGGGTAGAGGGTGGGATGAGGAAGTTGTGGGGGAAGACAATGTATAAATGAAAGATACTTTCGCTTTAGTATTCTGTGTTATTTTTCCTTCCTAGCATAAGAAACTGATCATATAATATAACAATTGGTATTTGTAATACTGAATATAATATCTCACAAACTAGCCTTTTGTCATTTATTAATTCTGTACTGAGTTTATAGTTAGAATCTCTTCCTGTTTAGTCTCTCTTAACCAACTTTTAAAATCTCCTTTGTGCATAAAATAAAATACACTGCTGATGGCAGTTAAATTGTGAGTTGCAATTTGAATGGAGATTTGGTTATTATATAGCATTATAAATGTATATGACGCTGTACAGAGCACTTAAAGTTAGGTTACAATCACATGAACTGTAACTTCATTGGATCATGATATTTAAATTGGATTTCAATAGCTTATTGGATTCTTCAGTGGAGATAGTTGAGAAATAACAAATCTACTGTGCCATCACATTTGACGGTGGTAAGGAACCAGGTTCCAGTAAACTCTTGTCACTCTTCCACAAAACAGAAACTGAGCTGTCATTCAGTCTCAGCCACACTAGTGGAAATTGAGTCACTTCACTGAAGTCAGAATTTGGCCCTCTAATTGTGCATAAATCACTTGGACATTTTTATTATTGAACCTCTACTCAAGCTTTAAGCAAAGAGTGTGTTTGCTCATGTTCATTACTAATCAGTAGATATTTCTGGTCCTGAAGGAATATTCATTTGATGTGGGATCTTTATTCAGTGAGGGCATGCATTTTTTACCATTGTATTGAGTGAAGCACGAGGAGGTTGAGTTGCCTGTAATCATACAAGTGTGTCAGTGGCTCTCTGTCCTTCATTTTAGTTTTTATAACTTTCTGGACACCAGCTGGCATCAGACTTTTTTACAAGATGTTTTTTGGTTGTTATTCCAGGTTAATGTTTTGAACAATTGGGAAATTTTTATAGATTAAATCACTAAGTGCTCTTAGTTTTTATTCTTTTTCCCCCATTTGATTCCTAGGGATAGTACTGCTGTTTTTGCTGCTTATATTAGAAGCAGCCCATGGGAGTTGCACAGAAGCGTGCAGGCTTTTATGCTTCTGTAGAGTGGAAAAGAAAAGACTATGTGGTGATCATTATATCAGAAAGTTTGATGGAAACAGTCTATTGTAGCTTTGTTTTCTGTCTCTTGTAGGTTGATTTTTTAATTGCTATATTCCAGAAATTATTTCCTATCACAAGTTTTCAGATCACAGACAGTTACTAGAATCCTTATTTTCAGATGTTGTGAAATGAGATTTACAGATTATACATCTATAAATATAGGGATTAACTCCTTTCCACACTACACAGAAATTTTGTCATTATTTATTTTTTTCTTTCTGTTTTCATTTCAAAAATAAAATCAATTAATAGTATGTGGGGTGGGGGTGAGTGATGTTATAGTGTTTTATTACTTCTACAATGCCACATATGTGCATGATGCTGTATAGGCAGACAAAATGTCAATCCTTTCTCCAAGTAGTTTACAATCTTGGGTTCCAATCTTCCAAAAAATTGCTCAAATGAATATGAAGGAACAGACATTTTGTAGTCATTTCAAATGCAATATCTTCTAGTTTGTTTGTACAATGCTTTGAAGATGTAGTATTCAATAAATATATCATAATTTTATTTTATTTTTGTAGATACTTCTGTTTCTGTCATGATTCATAAAAATCTATTTAAGCAGTGTGATTAGGATTAGTGGGCTGGATTCAGATGAGTATTTGAGTAAGGAAATTAAATACGGCCATAATGGGTTGCATTCCTTTTTTCCAAAGCAAGGCCTGAACGCATGGAATTTCAGTGATTCACTGTTTAACCCTTTGATACTAGAAAATGCATTAATGCTCACAGTAGGAGCTTCCATCCAGCCCCAGGACATTGGGTTTATATGTTAAAAACAGATGCCTTTTCGAGGCTTACTACAAAAGCAATAAATTATGAGGCAAAAAAGAGAAGCAGACTTGCCTTTTTTTGTTCTTGCCTTTTCCCAAAAGTCTGCAACTGTATCCTTATTAAGATAAAAGTATGTATAAAACAAAAAATCACTTGAAGTGTGGGAAAGGTGACCAGGGTCCCAATTCAGTGAGGTCTCCCAAACGTTGAGGATGTGAGTAGACCCGCTGAAGTCAGTGAGACTACTCACGCACTTAAAGTTATGCTCAAGTATTTTGTAGATTTAGGACCTATCAAAATGTCATTTTAGGATTCCAGGCTTATTGTTTAAGTAAATTATTCCATATTAAATATACTCAGTTTATGATTTTCACAGCTGCCAGCTTTGCAACTTGGAGTGTGAAAGTCCACACAGGTTCCTTCTGCCTTTACTCATCATCCACTCTAATAAAGAAATTGCAGTTGGAATTTATTTTACAAGTTGGTTGACATATACCTACAACAGAATTCACCTTACTTTCTCAGAGCTGTTCTAGCAATAAAAGAACCTTCCTTTTCATAATAAAGGAGCAAACAGGACTCTGAATACATACAAGTAACATATTTGCTGAGTCAAATGATAGCATTTTAGTCAGTTCTCTGTCTATATTGACCTTTTAAAATAAAACAAGGATATTCAGCATAATTTCTAGAACAGGGGTTCTCAAACTGTGGGTCGCAACCCCAGGACTGGCTTAGACTTGCTGGGGCCTGGGGCTAAAGCCAAAGCCCGAGCCCCACTGCCTGGGACCGAAGCCCAAGCGCTGAGCGGCAGGCTCAGGTTACAGGCCCCCTGCCTGGGGCTGAAGCCTTTGGGCTTTGGCTTTGCTCTCTCATCCCGCCGGGGCAGTGGGATTCGGGCTTTGGGCCCCCCCACCCAGGGCGGTGAGGCTTGGGTGGGCTCAGGCTTCGTTCCCACCTCCTGGGGTCGTGTAGTAATTTTTGTTGTCAGAAGGGGGGTCGCGGTGCAATGAAGTTTGAGAACCCCTGCTCTAGAACCAAGGGGTTCAAAAAGTTTGAAGTATCTGTACTTATTTGAACCAAATTTCTGGATCTTTTGAGATCACTTACAGCTAATTTTTTATGTAAAAGTATTTGACAAAATGTTTTAAAAGCATTCTACCCCTTTTTGTCTTTGTGCAAGCTGTAAAGCTTGCCACTTTCAGCATAAATCTCTTATTTTAATAATAATTATTAATAAATAATTCAGCTGAGGCTCTCGAGTGCATTACAAATATTAATTGATTCACACAGTTCCCCTTTTGATGTATATAAATTAGTGTTTTCCCTAATTTACAGGTAAGTAAACTGATGTAGAGGGAGAGTAAGTGAGTACCTTGAGGTCACAGAAGAAGTCAATGGCAGATCTGGGGATACCTAGAGTCCTGTTTCCCAATTCTCTGCTCACATTGTTAGACCGCAGTGCCTCTACTGTAATAAGAGCCAAAGAATTAGTAGAAAAGTGCTTCAGAACGTTTTCAGAACTGAGGGCTGCATCTAATTTACAAATGGATTTACATGTAACTTTAAGCAGAGATAAATGCATACCGTTTATGTTTACAGAGCACAGTAAATGTACATAGTACTCTACAAAATGTGTAGAGAGGCAAAATGTGTTTGAGAGTTACATCGGAAGGAATGTTAAAAGGGAAGAGTAGAACTGCTTCTTTGCAATGGAAGGCTTTAAAGACACAAACATTATGCGATGCAGGTAGATTGTTAAGTTGGTTGTTGCAGTTGTTCAGATTCATAACGGAAAAGAACTGTTGGCTTGTATTTCCAAAGAGGATGTTTCCAAATATAAGCCCTCTTATGTAACTGTGATATCTGTTGTTTGTCAAGCATACTGGCACATAAAGAAATTCAGTAAGCTTCTCTCAAGAAATATGCATTGGAACATTGTGAGTCCGTCAATTCTAGATACATCTTGTCCATCTTGTCTTTTGGGTTCAGCTTGTGATGTGTTTGCAAACATATTTCTGTCCCTTTGAAAGTGTCTGAATTTTTCATCAAATTAACTTTATAGTCTGTCTGGATTTTTCAGCATAGGGATAACTAAAACACTTGAGTTTCTTGAACATTTATTAGGAAATATGAAAACAGAAAAGACATTCTGTTTCTTTTCATGACTGCAGCCAAGACCTCTGGTCTTGTGGAAGCTGCAGACAAAGGCCCATGACTATCTTCTGCTCTGCTGGCATTTGCAGCCAAAGGTCTCTGCTCCACTCCTAATTTTAATATTGTAGATACTTGTAAGTAACATATTTCAGCATTTATTATTATTATTATTAAATAGTCAAGAAGTAGTTTCTGACTGATTAGACATGTGATATTATCATCAGGGTTCCAAGGTAAAACATTACATACCTCCTAACATTTAAAGTTAATAAAGTGGAGGGGGGGGGAAGGAGGCACCAGAGTTGTGGTTTCAAAGCGAGCCTTTCCTGCACTTACCCCACAGAAAGAACAGGAGTACTTGTGGCACCTTAGAGACTAACAAATTTATTAGAGCATAAGCTTTCGTGGGCTACAACCCACTTCTTCGGATGCATATACCCCACAGAGGCAGCGTTGTGGCTCCTGTCCCATGGGGCTGACTGGGCTTGGCCCCTGGTGCGCTGGTCGTAATGCCACTCAGGTTTGGCCCAGTCCCCCTGATGTGGGGGAGAGGTGGGTTGCCAAGCCAGATTTGA